CAAATCAGACGTAGTTCATTAAAAGAGGGATAAGAATTCAAATTGAGCAAATACAAGCAAACAGAACGATTACAAGTAAATGATAGAAAATGCAAAAATGAAACTTCACACATAGTATCTCTTGACAGCATCTGAGTTGATAGGTTTAGGCCATACAGTGTCATCCATCTCCGACAGGACCAAAGCACCTCCGGATAGTACTTTACGAACCATGTAAGGACCCTGCCAATTTGGTGCGAACTTTCCTTTGTATTCGTCTTGATGAGGGAAAATATGCTTAAGAACCAACTGACCAACTTCAAAGTTTCTGGCTCTTACTCTTTTGTGAAAAGCACGAGTCATTCTCTGTCTATACAACTGACCATGGCAAACGGCAACCATTCTCTTTTCGTCAATAAACGCTAGTTGGATGATCCTCAATGACGGTATCTCGACTTCAACACGTATGGCTGCCTCTGTACCGTACATTAGCAAGTATGGAGTGGCACCAGTCGATTTTCTGACCGTCGTTCGATAACCTAGTAAAGCGTATGGCAACATATCATGCCAACCTCGATGTTTGTCAATCATTTTCCTCAAGATCTTTTTGATATTCTTGTTGGCGGCCACTAAAGCTCCGTTTATTTGGGGGCGATAAGCAGTTGACTTTCGATGAATAATCTTAAATTGTTCACATATCTCTTTCATCAAATGACTGTTGAGATTTGCACCGTTATCAGTAATGACGGATTTTGGAACTCCAAATCTGCTTATCAGATTGTTGCGGACAAAATCGGCCACCGCTTTCTTGGTTACCGACTTGTAAGAGGCTGCCTCCACCTATTTGGTGAAATAATAAATGGAAACTAAAATGAATCTGTGCCCATTGGAAGCGTTCAACTCTATAGTACCAATGACATCCATTCCCCAGGCTACAAATGGCCAAGGTGCACTCATAACATTAAGTTCGTGAAGTGGCACCCATATCAAATCGTCGTGCACTTGACATTTGGGGCATTTTTGCATGAATTTGCAACAGTCATTTTCCATAGTCATCCAGAAATAACCAGCTCGAAGAATCTTTCTTGCCAAAGTAAGCCCATTCATATGTGTGTCGCAAACTCCAGCATGTATTTGTTCAATAAGCCTCACAGCTTTAGCAGCATCCACACATTTCAAAAGACCCAAATCAGGAGTCCTCCTATACAAGACTTCTCCATTTAGAAAGAAATTGAGAGTCATACAATATATAGACTTCTTTTGATTATATGTAGCGTCTTCTGGATATGTCCAAGACTCCAAATACCTCTTTATGTCAAAATACCAAGGCAGACCGTCTGGTTCTGATTCAACATGTGAACAATGGACTGGATGTTCCTTCCGCTCTATATCCAGTGGGTCGATGTAGTCAGTATCCGGATGTTTGATCATCTCAGCTAATTCATTCTGTATTCTGGGAGTATGTCTGAACTCGATCTTGCGAAACCTTTTACACTGATTTTGCACATATTGTACGTAAGGTATAATTTTTGGGTTCTTCACAGCCCATTCACCTTGAACCTGATGAATCAAAAGGTCTGAATCTCCAATAACTAGTAACTCGTAATTATTCATGTCAATGGCCATTTTCAAACCAAAATACAAGCTTCGTATTCAGCCATGTTGTTTTTGCAATTGAATTGAAGTTTAGCTGCCATAGGATAGTGCTGACCGGATTCTGATACTGCTCCAATACCCTTAACTTGATGGTTTGCCGCTCCTCAAAGAATAATCTCCAACCTGGGTATGTTTCAGAAATATCTTCGCCCACAAACGACACCTCTTTATCGTGAAAATAAGTCTTAAGTGGTTCATATTCTTCATCCACGGGATTTTCTGCAAGATGATCACCCAAAGCTTGTGCCTTTATTGCCTTTTGAGTCACATACACAATATCAAACTCACTCAACAACATTTTCCATTCCAATCGGCATCGCTTTCTGGAAAATGTACTTCAATGGATCCATTCTGAAAATGAGATATGTAGTATACGAAGACAAATAGTGTCTCAATTTCTGGGCAAGCCACGTCAGAGCACAACATGTTCTCTCCAGCAAAGTGTAACGAGATTCGTATGGAGTAAATTTCTTGCTTATATAGTAGATAGCCTTTTCCTTCTTTCCTGTTTCATCGTGTTGACCAAGTACACATCCGAAGGCACTATCTGAGACAGACCAATACAGTAACAAAGGACTCCCTTCTCGCGGAGGAACCAATACCGGTGGGTTAGACAAATAGCTCTTGATAGCATCAAAAGCAGTTTGGCATTCCTCAGTCCACTTAGTCGGGGCATCTTTCTTCAGTAACTTGAAAATAGGATCACACACCACTATTGATTGTGCTATAAACCAGCTGATATAACTTCCCTAAGAAACTCATCACCTCTTTCCTCGTTTTCGGCGGAGGTAACTCTTGAATTGCTTTACTCTTGGAGGGGTCAAGCTCGATACCCCTTCTGCTGACTATAAATCCCAACAACTTTCTATCTGGGACTCCAAAAGCGCATTTGGCGGGATTTAACTTCAAGTTGTACTGACGCAGACGTTCAAAGAATTTTCTCAGGTGTGTCAAATGATCTGAACTCTCACGGGATTTAATTATAACATCGTCCACGTACACTTCAATTTCCTTATGAATCATGTCATGGAAAATAGTCGTCATGGCTCTCATGTAAGTGGAACCGGCGTTCTTGAGGCCGAACGACATCGCCCTATAGTGATACACACCCAAGGTGTAATAGAAGCCGTTTTTTCCACGTCTTCCTCATCCATCAAAATTTGGTGATAACCTGCATAACATTCCACAAATGACTGCATCTTATGTGTGGCACAATTGTCAATCAAAATATGGATATTTGGCAACGGAAAATTATCTTTCGGACTAGCCCTGTTGAGATCTCTATAATCAACACAAATCCTAATTTTCCCATCTTTCTTGGCGATTGGAACGACATTGGGCAACCAGGTTGGACATTGTGTTACTTCCACCAATCCAGACTCTATTTGCTTGGTGATTTCTTCTTTAATCTTCAAGCTCAGTTCGGGCTTGAATTTCTGAGTCTTTTGTTTCACCGGCTCGAACCCTGGGTTGATAGGTAGCTTATGAGATAAGACATCGGTACTCAACCCATGCATATCACCGACTTCCCAAACAAATACATCACTGTATTCGGCAAGCAAATGAACCAGACTCTCCTTCTGAGTTTCATTCAAGTAGGTGCTGATCTTAACCTCTTTGACACATTCCGAATCTCCCAAATCATTGTTTCCGTCTCCTCTAGATTCGTTTTATGCTGACTCTCGAACTGTCGAAATTCCTCAGCAACATAATCTGGTTCCGCACTTTCTTCTTCATAATCGTCAACCTTGTCCTCATTTTGTTCATTTAGCTCATAACATGACATGGCATTGGCGGGTCTGTAACTTATGTTACTGAAATCATAAATAGACATTATTAGGAAAGTAAAGTATGACAAACAAACTAAATAAACAAAGTTAAAAAATAAAGAGGCTTTCATTTAAAATGAAATGCAAACTTTGGTCATGGCACAGGGCCATGTTGCTTTTTTAAACATCACAACGGAAATACAAAATTCGAAACAATTAAGAAAAATGCAGAAATGTGGGTCTCAGGCCTCTTCCGGACAACCACCGATTTTAGTATGCATAAAATAACTCCTTTCTACCGAAGAGTTCGGGACATCAGGATCAGCGTGGAAGTCCAATGCTGCAGCATCTCCCCTGGTTCAGCATCACGAATACTAGCTGGCTCGACCTCCTCCTCGATAATAGCATTGATCTCCTTGAAAAGGTCACAGATTCCATCCCCACAGTCTTCAGGATCGGTGCACTCTTGGATTGGAAAGGATAGATACAAATGCGATATCGGTTTAGACAAATCTTGATCCTTTTTCTTCATCATCTTCACGTCGTCATCTGTGGGGATGTACCCCAAACCATATTTGGATCCTTTATCAAGGACTGGAATAGGTTCAATAATCCCTTGGGAATCCCTTCCAATTCGAAACATGGCTCAAACCCATTCTGCAGCATTACCGTGGTACTCATTCTGTACACGGTTGGCATGGGGGTCTGTAGGGCCAAATCCTCATCAGTGGCATTTACCAACTCCATCGTGTAAAAGTCCGCACCTTATGACGTCTCGTCAAAGACCGACACCTGCTTACTTGAGTGACTTCTCTCACCGTGAACAACTAGCTCCTCATTCTTCCATACCAGCTTCATCATTTGATGGAGAGTGGAGGGGACGGCTCCAGCCATGTGAATGAACGGCCTTCCCAAAAAAAGGTTATAGCTGGTGTCGATATCCAGCACTTGGAGCTTCGCGTTGAACTCCGCGGGGCCCATTTGGAGGGTCAAGTTCACCGCCCCTAATGTATCTCCTTGCACACCATCAAACACTCTTACATTAACCTGGTTTTGTTTTAATTTTCTGAGGTCAAACCTCAGCTGTTTCAATGTCGACAAAGGGAATATATTCAAACCCGATCCATCATCTACCAAAACATGATTGACGACCTTTCCACGGCATATCACAGTGACGTGCAGAGCTTTGTTGTGGGATCTCCCTTCGGCTGGCAACTCATCGTCACAGAAGCTGATGTGATGCCCTCGAATGACTTGATGAATCATAGAAGCCACGTTATCGCTGCTTGTACCAGAGGGAACGTACGTATCATCAAGAGCTTTCATCAAAGCCTTCCTGTGGGACCGGGAGCTCATCAGTAGGGCCCACATAGAGATTTGAGCCGGAGTCTTCTCCAAGTGTTTGACAATGGAGTAATCTTTCGGTTGCATCCTCCTCCAGAACTCCTCTGCTTCTGCTTCTCTTATTGTCCTCTTGGCATGGTCTTTCTTCTGTCCTCCGAGAGCAAGCTCATCAGGAGTGTAGCATCTTCCGGACCTAGTCATACCTTGGGCCACAGTAGTTTCTATGACAAACTTGGGTTTGGCAAGAGTTTTTTAGGGCACCAAGGCAACATCCTTTGTAGGTGTCAGAATAACGAACTCTCTTTTTTCTTTGACGCTTAAAGAAGCGGCAGCCTTTTCCAAGTCTTCCTGCGCAACAGGAGTAATCCTCTTGATTTCACACTCGTCTTCATCCGTCTTTATCATATTAATTTTGCCAGCCCCATGATTCGGCAACGGATTTGTGTTGACGTTTGGCGTAGCCGGTTGGAGGGAGACTACCTCCTGGTCGATCAGATCCTGGATCTTGTGCTTAAAATTGATACATTCTTCGGTGTCGAGTCCAACACTGTTGCAATGATAAGCACATCTTTGCTCCGGTTTGTAGAACTTAGAGTTGACATCCATGGGCTTGGGCCCCACAGAGTGGATGTATCCGGCCGCGGATAGTCTTTCGAATAGCTTGGTCCGACTTTCAGCCAGTGCAGTAAAGTTCCTCAAAGGCCTTTTTTCGAACCTGGGACAAGAAGGATCATACCCGCTTTGCTGAGGGGGAGGAACCTGTTGATAATTGCGGGCATTTGGGCGAGGAGCTTGGGTTCTAGGGTAGGGGTTTGTCTGGTAATTTGGAACAGGAGCTTGGTAATTCGGGAGGGGATTTTGATATGCTGGAGCTTGGACTTGATATGTGTGGGAGGGTGCTCGGTAGTTGTACATTGGCACAATTGGGAGCATTATTCTGATAAGGGGGTGGAATTTGATAAGATTGGGGGTAATTTGGATACATGGAGGGAAAATTTTGGAGATTTAGGGGTGGATTTTGGTACGACAAAATTTGAGCATCTGGATAGATGGGGGCAGTATTGTAGTTGTTGGAATGATTGGATTGTGGGCGATAGGTTTGATGAGATTTTGGTGGAGGATTGGAGCAATCTTGAGGACACGATGAGTTTCGGGGAGTTTTTCTTCCCCCATAAAAAACAGCGGCAACTTCCTCTCTCTTCTTCCTCATCAATCCGAAAGATCCAGGCGACGCGGATACTCGGGCTATCTTCCCCGACTTCAGAATGTCTTCGATAGTCTCGCCAACTTTGACTATCTCGGCGAATTTGGCTCCGATTAACAAAATGATTCTGTCATAGTATTCGGGCTCTTGCACCCGCACAAACACTTCTATAATCTCTTTTTCAATCATTGAAGGCCTCACCCTTGCTGCTTCTTTTCTCCATCTGTAGGCAAATTTCCGATAGCTTTCCGTCGATTTTTGCTTTATTTTCTCTAAAGAATACTGATTAGGGACTATCTAAACATTGTACGCATATCGGTCAATGAAGTCTTTAGCAAGCACGCTCCAAATGAGCCACTGCCTAGTTTTGTGTGACGTAACCCATTCTAGGGCCTCACCGCACAAACTTCGGCTGAAAAGCCTCATCAATAAAGTCTCATCTTTGCCAACTCCCACGAGCTGGTCGCAGTAAGCTCTCAAATGTGCCTTGGGGTTGCCTACCCCTCCGAAGGTATCAAACTTTGGGATTTTGAACCCTTCAGGAAGGTTCAAGTCTGGGTGGATACACAATTCTGCATAACTCAATTCGGCGACGTCTAGAACGCATTGCAACTCTTTCATAGACCTTTTGATCTCCTCCTTTGTGTCGATCTTTGCCTCTTCTCTTGCCTTCCATTCTCTCTCCTGTTCCTCGTAGTGGTCCAACTCGGAACCGTGCACCTCATGCTCGGAAGGAATGGGAACTTGGAAGGTGGTTCTTTTGGGAGGGGTGGAGCTATAGAAGGACTCGGGACATTTTGGGCGGTTTAGTAGTTTTGTGGGTAGGTTTGAGGATTGGTGTTTTGGTTTAAATGGGGATGCGGTGTTTTGGGGTTGAAGGCGGTTGGATTTTGATTTTGATTCTGGGGCGGTGGGTCTGTTTGAGTATTCTGGGGGTGTGGTGGCATTTGGAAAGGGTTATTTGGAAGCGGTAAGGGAGTTTGATAAGGTACAGAAGCATACTGGAAGTTTTAGGTTGTTAAATCTATCCCAGACGGATTATGCACAGGTGTTGACGGCTGGTTCTAAGTTGGATCCAACTTTGACGAAGGGAAGTACATCGGAGGTCTTGCATCAACAAAATTAGGTCCAAATCCGGGTGGAGGGGTATCCTGCCTCTGCTGCATTTCGACTCTCATCTCGGCTATCTGTTGCATCCGTTGCGCGATTAGTTCATTTTGTTCCGCCACGGTGGGATGAGCCACCACAACATTTGTGAGACTAACTTCGTCGTTATTGTCTCCCATGACTGTATTTCCTTTGTATGAGTTTGGTCTGGGGAAGGAATCTTTAGGACCTTTCGATCTGGTGAAGCAAGGATGATCTGCCAGCTTTGATCGACACAAACCAGTTAGAAGTACCTGTGAAGCAAAACAACTCAAAGGCATATTTGTTAGAGCATATTCGAAGTACAAAATGCATAATATCACATAGAGAGAAGATAAACACACAAGTTGCTTTGTTTGAGGAAATCTTTAACCCATGAATGAGGACGGGAATACATTTTTTAACAAACAGGAATTTGCTTGTTGTTGTTTTTTTTTTCGCGATCACGGGAAGGTTGAATCACGTTGGGCTACAGTCTTCTTGTAGCTGCTTTTTGATACCCGTTGATATGATCTTCATATACTTCGTAACATGAAGGAGAATGAAAAAAAATTTCAAAGACGAGGCCGGGCCAGCAAAGGTTACCTACGTATCTCACAAGGAGAATTCAGGCCCAATGTAGTTTGAGTTTAGGATGAAATATTTTCATTCATTCTTTCATTGCGATTACAAGGAAATTGAAAGACCACATTGAAATTCCTAAAAGATGACGATAGCACTTTAGTCATTTCTCCTCCTATGATTGCGTCATTTTCTTCCTTTCAGACGATCGGAAATGGAGGCCTGTAGACGATTTCCTCCTCGTCGTCCTCCTCAGTCAATTTGTTCTAGGGGCCCTTGTTGTCTGCTCCCTGTTCACAGGCGAGGTATTTTCCGCTCTTCAGGTTGCTATGGGTTGTTAATTCCTTATCAAGTGACACTCTTTTGGCTAACATAATGGCAGTCTTAGCATCTATCTCTGCCTCTCTCGCCTTTTCTTCGTGCACCTTCAAACGAAGCATGTTTAACCTTTTTCTCAAGCTTTCGGTTTCCATCTCAAGCTCTTTATTTCTCTTTATCTGCGATGCCAGATCCTCATCCAATGTCACGACTGCAGCTTTGTAAATTGTTGTGGTCATGTCAACTCTGAATCCTACCTCCTTAACCTTTTGAATTTCTCGAGTGACTCGTTCGATCTTTCTTTGCAACTCCTCTTCAGTGAGCTTCGTATGGATGTTCTTGCCCTTGTCCATAGTGGTGATTTGCCTTTCCTAAGATGATAGAGCAGTATTTAGGATTTTTGGTATAGGAGATATCCTTTTGAGTGAGAAACTTGAGACTTGGGAATTTTGGTCGTACATTTGTAATAGTGGCTTCCATGTATTCTATGGAAATTTCTCGCTGGGAATAGGTTTACGATATCCTCATTCATAGCAACATAACACATAAGTAGTTAAAAACACATATATATCGCGTCCTAAACATATAGGGGGACCCTTTTGTGCCAAGGGTAGGCCTAGCGCATTCGAATGATGTACGTGTGAATTTGAACCAAATAAACAATTCCCCCCAAAATAACATTTACTAATGAATAATAATGTTCGCAAAAGGGAAACAAAAATAAAGATAAACTTACGCAAGGGCCATTCGAAAGTGAAACAAAATCAGGTCCACGCAGGGGCTAAAGAAGTCTAAATACATGTAAAAACCCACGCAGGGGTGATGTCCACTATGCTGCTCCAGATGATCCTGCTTCGTCGCCGTCTTTCTGAATTTTGTGTTTCTGAAACATATACCTCAGCATCAGTAGAAAACCTTCACTCAGGCGTCCTTTATCTTCCAAACTTTAGTATCGCATCCTCTCGATTTTCGGTTGGATCGAGTTGTAAAAATCATCATACCCATGCCTTAGTCTTTCGACCTCTCGAGTTGCCCTCTCAAGCGTGTCTTGATTCTCTACGAACTTAGCATACATCTCTTTGGCCTCTTCCTTTATCTGTTGTAGCTCGGCCACTGCTTTGGCTTCTCTATCCGTCACACTGCGAAAGCTACGCGGAGTCTGAAACGAGATATTTTGTATGTCCTTCTTCAGCCATTCTTTATAACCCTTTTCATATCCAGCATTGAATCGGTCAGGGGCGATAGTGACTTTATCCGTGCGCTTGGCGTTTTTCCATTCTCTGAACATTTCCGTAGCGTCATGCACTCTGTCATCTCCAATGTCATACACATAAGCGCCATAGTACGCTTCTCTGGGCACGGTTTGTTTTCTTTTGAACTATCGCAAGAATTGAAATGGTGCGCAAGGGAGAATTCCTCGAATACCTGGTAGAGGGAGCACGACATATCTGCGACTCTCCACGACAACTTCTTTAGATATAAAACGGTCAAGCATCCATTGGAGGTCTTCTTCTCTAAATTCGGAGAAAATTTGGGCCCATCTCCCTCTTGTTCTCCGATTGTCCATATTTGCCCAATATAGTAAGTCATTTAAGTCCTTGAGAGTGTTTTTGTTGTCGAGGGTGTGTAATTCCCGAGTCCCAGCACCCTTCGCCAAATGGCTGAGGATCCACCACTGGAGGAGTAGGTTACATCCTTGGAAGTACCAGTGTCCTTCTTTGCACTTTCCCAAGGCCCAATACATGTTAGATAGTATGACTGCAGCTACAGGGTAGTATTTTGTTGTTCCTTGATTTTCATATCCTTTGAACAAAGTGTGGACGAGTGTTATGACTTGGGTGTTGATGCTCAAACTCGGACCGTGCGGGAAGACCATTGTTCATATAATACCACGACAAACGCTAGGGGACGGATCTCATTCCACTCTCTGTAGAAGATCTTGAACTCTCTATTGTACGTGGCGTAGAAACTCGCGTGTCCAAATCGAATAGAGAGATCTCTAAACGCCACGTGGGAATCCTGACACCAGTAAGCGAAGTCTTTTCTTAGTCCAAACCAATCCGCAATATTCTCAACGGAATTTTTGTTGGGGATGAAGATATCCTCTTGTTTTCTAGCTCTTCTCTCTATCCCGGTGCCTACGGTGTCTATACAGTCCCTTATTTCTTCCAGCGTCAGGGTAATTTCGTCTGTTCCAAAATAAAAAACCGTCTTCTGACTGTCCCAATACCCCGTAAGTACCTCAATTAGTTCTGGCCAACCATTCATGTTGATCAGTTCGGTTAAGGCACCTACGTACTTGTTAAGGGTTCTTCTATGATCCCCATCAAAATCGTTGTACCACATCGTAAGTTGAGGTGGCGCTGAGACGACCATATCAAACTTGGGAAACGATCCATGTCTGTAAAATAGAAACACGTTATATTTTTCCCCACCCCCAAGTTGGTTTTCACACATACGTTATTCGAATGTCAAACAATATGGGGTGTCGTGAGGTCGAAGACCTTAGACACGATTTTGGCAGTTTTTCTACTAAAATGGACTTAATACGTCTTGGGTGTTAAGTCGTCTTAGGCTAATGCTTAATTTGGTTTTGGTTTCGCTCTATCTTAGGCTTTCTAGAATTATTTTCAAATTGACGGTTACCCGAGTCGGACAAACATTGGGGTGGAGCTACCAAACAACGTCGGATGACCGCATTCCGACTATTTGTTTTATACTCACCAACAAACTCTTGGGTATATCTGAAGAAAGCCGTGGTAAGCGACATAACTTTCGTTTCCTAATGCAACCTATTTGCCGTTTGGCGGGGATATGCCATGAAATGCAACAGCATTCGAAATTTAAAGCAACTAAGCAAATAAACAGTTTATCGCAAATAGTCAAATATGTTAATCTTAGAATTAGAATCCTCCTGGTCTCCGGCGGAGTCGTCATTCCTGTTTTATCAAAAAAAATCGAAAGAGTTTATTTTGTTTTAAGAGATTTTCGACTTTTTAGGGAGTCGCCACTTAATTTTCAAGAGAAATTAAGAAAACTTGTTTTCAAATAACTTAAACAGAAAAATTGTTTGAAAACTTTTTAAAAGGGTTCGGGGATTCTTATTAACGTCTTAGGAAGGTTTTGAAGGCACCTAAGACGTTCCGCTTAATGCCGCTTTCCAGCAACTAACCATTTGACTAATATTTTTAAGATTTGCAAATTTTTATTTAAACTTCCTAAAATTTAAATCTAAAAGAACTTGCGAATTTGAACATTTATCGTTTTAAAATTTATTTTAGTTTTAGGTTTGATAAAATAGAGTGGCATTCGACGGGGATTGAAATTTTCCTAAACCCAAGCCAACGACATTCAAACAAAGCAATGTAAACAAATAGTAAAAAGGGAAAGAGAGAGAGAGAGATTTGATTTGGGTCCAATTTCGGGTTCTGTCCGCCTTGACCGAAATTTGGACCCACCTGCTTTTGGGTTTTTAACCCATTTTCTCATTTGGATTTTCGACCCACTTCACCTGTCCTAATCTAAGCGTACAAGAGTAAATACAAGAAAGTGAAAACGAAAAGGGCTTATGCCCAAAATAAATATATAAAAAAATAAACTTCTAATCCACCTTCTTCAAGTTTCTTTAATCTTCATGGAATTTCGAATCTTGCATGTCTGTCTTGATGGTTTGACTCGAATGAAAGGAATTTTGAGCCTTTATGGCTCTTCCGAATGCTTACTGGAAAATGGAGTCCCGAAACGGACTTTAACAGACATTCAAGGATTTGTATCATGCCGAAATAGTAAACAAAACAGTTGAGCTTATAGCTACCAAATCGACAGCTATGCTATTTCGACTTTAAGTAGATGTAAAAGTTTGCCACCAACGCAATAAGAGACTGAACTTTAACAAAGACCTTCCTTCACTAATCTCAAGTGCGATTTCCAACGTTTCGATCAGAACCATATAGGCATGAGGTTCTAACCTGAACCAAAGACAATCCAAACTCGCTTATAATTTGAAAGCGATAAACACAAAAAAAAACTCAAAGGAGCCAAACAAGGCATCGGATAAGCCTAGTTGGTGTTCCTTAATGAATAGCTACGAGAACAGCAAAGACCACCAAAACGTCAACATAAAGAAGATAGTAAACCTAACTAAAGCAGGACCAAACGTGACTATATACAAGAGTTCGAGCAAACAAATCAACTCACTTATCATATATGAGAGAATAAGCGAGAGAATTGCTATACAATACAGAGGAAGAACAAATAAGAACAAACATATTTCCCTTATCAAATCAGCCTGAAACAATTGCCCAAATGCAGACAAATAAAGGACCTATTTGAAATCTTAACAGGCAAACCATGAATCCAAAACAACAGAGAAAATCAAACTTTACTACATTAAAGATTAAGC